CCTTATGGCTACCCCCAACCTTATGTCTTCTTCCAACCATTACCTCCAGGACCCCTGTACAGCCAAGTCCAACCTTATTCCCCCGGGAACGTCGTCCCCCACCAACGACCACCAACGAGACCACCAATTCATAGTACACAAGGTACCGTACACGGCAACACATGCCCAGATAACACATGTTATCCCCCATAAACGTGAACCTTACACAAAGGCCACAACTCCATAATCACGTCACGGCCACCACGAGGACCGCTACAATACCTTGGTGACTAGTGTCCCATACCACTAATCGTGCAATCCAGGTAAAGCCACACACGCATCACACCACAACAGGAATCAATCAACGGATCACAACGAAGATATGAAACCACACTCAATCAAGGAATGGGTCACAGCCCAACCACAACAACGATGAATAACACAAGTTATCATAAACCAAACGGAAGGTACAAACAACACACATGCTAGCATTTAAACAACAAACTAACATGTTTATCAAACGGGTAAACCAAACGTAGTTCCGAAGAAAACACAAGACTCATCACGGTTCAACGAAACACAATGTTGAACACTTAGCACGATTCAAGACACCAAAGTCCTACATGGATACCTACCATATAGTTCTAGACATACGAAACATCAAGAAGACGCTCAAATAGTTCCACAAAAGAACATTGGAAAGTCAAAAGACCAAATAGCGAGTCAAACGGATCACGTGGAACAAATCCCGGACAAACACCACCATGTACCTGCGGGTGGACCCACGGGTAGCACCCCACCCGTGGTTCCGCCCGCGGGAACATATTCCCATAAGGCCATGTACCCGCGGGTAGGCCGGCGGGTGGTGCCCCGCCCGCGGGTACACACTTGTACCACAACAAATCCCTTCGGGTATTTTCTTCTCCAAACACAAATTCAAGTCCAAAACATGACAAATCTCACCAAATACAACAAAATGACTTGAACCATGGAAAATGCCAAGCAATGGCACAAAGGAACCCTAAACACAAGCTCTAGATATGCAATATCACAAGACAAATGCATAAACCCTCACATTTCATAGCAAAACACAAGTAGAATCCAAGAAATCACATATAGGTAAGCAAAATAGGTTTTGTAGAGCATGGGTTACCTCTTGTAGACCAAAAGACTTCACTTTACACCACAACAAGCTCCCCACAAGGCTTACTTTCCAAACCCACTTCAAGATTAAACCAAAAGATCATAAAGATCCTACCTTTAAGAAAAAGACAACTAAGATGAAACCAAAAACACAAGATGGACTTAGATCTTACCCTCTTAGATGCCCAAATAGGTGAAAGGTTGAATCTTGGATGCAAATCTTGGAATCTTGACAAGGGTCTCAACTTAGCTTGGAGAATAAACTACACTTCTTTTCTAGAGAGAAGGTAGAGCTAATTTCTAGGAAATGTAAGGAATGAAATGAAGAAGTCTTCTAGGTTAGGTTACAATACTAACTCTTGGTGAAAAGTCAAGGATACCCTTACTATCCTTTAGAAAGTGTAAGGAACAAGGGAACTCCCCTCAAAGCTCAAGGTACAACATAGCTTTGAAGTTGACTAGTCAAATACTAGTCCTCGAGTATTAAAAATCAGGATTTTAGGAATTAATTCTTCAAATAAAATAGGATTAATTACTCAATTAATTCATTGATTGAATGTGGATTTTTGGGGTGTCACAATGGAGCTCCACTGGCTCCGCCACCTAGCTCCGTTGGTTAGTCTAGAAGGGCAGGGCCCTTGTGGCTCAGCCCACTTTTGTTGTTTCAGACCGGGAATCGTGGGCCCTTGTGGCTCGGAGACTGAGGCTCGTAACAACACGTTAGTATGAAATGTGCCTATGTGATTTGTGAATAAAATCCACTTTTCCAAAGGAGCATGATTAATGATTTTCCTAAGTGTTTATTGAGTACCTACCTTTGAGCATGATAGTTGAGTACCATGTTTGGGTTTGAGTTATGAGATGAGTTGATTAAATGACTAGTTGCGTTATCTAGTTCATGAGTATTGAGATTGGCACGATCTTATGGTTTCTTTCTCATATTGTGACCATGTCTAATGACTATGTGTATCTATGCCTATGAATTGTTGTGAAGTACCCGGTTGTGAATTCCCGGAAGGCTACTTGAGTTGTGTTATGAGAGATCCGGTTGAGAATTCCCAGAAGTGTGTACTAAAGTGTTATGATAAATCCGGTTGAGAATTCCCGGAGAGTTTCTTGAGATATGTGATGAGATCCGGTTGAGAATTCCCGGAAGTATGTCAATGTTTTGTGATGAGATCCGGTTGAGAATTCACGAAAGTGTGTATTAAAGTATTGTTATGATATCTATATATACGCATGTGAATCTAGTTGTCTTACATCTATGATCTTGATTGGCCTAATGTGTTATAAGTGTGAAGCACACCATTTTCCAAATCTATATCTATACTTATGTTACAGGGTTGAGTGGTTTATACTTAGCATTGTATGCTAACGGGTTTATTTTCCTATGTGCTTTTATAACCATTTTCAGGTGATCTTGATGCATGACGAGAGCTCACATAGATAGTTGTAGTATGTAGCTCTAGGGCTTAGATGTTTATTAGCTCTAGTTATCCCTCTCATTTTGGTTGTAGCTTGACTATGTTTTGTTGGTGCTTGGACATCGGGGATTGCATATCCCCCTATTTTGATGTGTAGAGCTTGGCTCTTGTTAGTTATGTAGTCCTTTAGCCTGTGCAGTTACTCGTGGATGGCTAGTTGTGGCGGTGACACTTCCTCTTTCTATTGTTAGTTTTGACTTTGGATTTATTTATCCTACTTAGTCTTTATTTCCACTGTTTTCGCCTTTTTAGACCGCTTATTCTATTCTATGTTTTAAAGTTTAAGAAAAAAAGGGGTGTTACAGATACAGTGTGTATCTACGTCTGGGGGACGATCACCGATGCGTCTAATACACTAACTCAGAATCTAATGTACAAAGGTAGAGAAACGATCTCACCCAATAGTGTTCCACACTAGGTCAGTACCCAATTTACAGAGGTTTAGTGGATTGTTGAAGACGGAGAGCCATGCATTCAGAAGTCCATGAAATCCCTTCAATGGAGAGCTAATTCTGATGCAGTCCACTTCAATGACGTATTCCCACGCTGTTCCCACAATTGAGTGATCTTCGATTCCACTGTTTAAGCATGGTTGTTTCTTCTCAAGTTCATCTTCGTAATCACCATGAACTTTAGGTCTTGAGAAGAGATAGAACCAGAGAATAATCTTTTAGAACGTTAGGAGAACTTGTTAGAGATTCAAGACTTGTAGAATGTATTGTGTATATCTCTCACTTCTTTCTTGAATCAGCTCCCATAATATATATCTCTAGTTGAGATGGGTAAGACACGTAATCAGAAATTCAAACAGCGTCTTAATGAGATTACGTCCATACACTTTGAGGTGTCCAACTGATTGAGGACTTTCTTGTAATTTCACCTATTGAAATAACAGCGTCAGCCAGCACATACGCGTTTTCATTAAATGAACTCCAACGACTTTAATCCTGAGACGCTTCTGACGAATTACCTGATCAATCAGGCCTTTAGTCTTCAAAACACTAACTGACTCTAAAATAGAAACCTATCTAATTTGCCATAATAATTATGCCAATTACATGTTGAGGTTTTAGATTCAAACACTAACAATAGCAAACTACTGTTAAAAAATCAGAAGGGTTAGAATTTGACTTGGATGAAGTGGATGGTTGTTGATCAGCAACCAGCGCCACATTTCTAGGCTCGGGTTCCTCTTCCCATCTCGGTTCTCTTTCGAACTCGTAAGCCTTCAAGTTGTTGAAGATTTGTGACGTCTGAATCGACTTCAGGTCTTTGTGATCTCTCATGGTGATGACTTTCATCTCCCATGACTTGGGTAGACCTCGGAGAATGTTCATATTAATATCCTCCTGGCTTAGCTCATTCCCTAAATTAGCAATCTCGCTTAGGAGCTTTATAAACCGAGTCTCCATCTCGGCTATGCTTTCGCCAGTCCCCATCTTGAAGTCCTCGAACTTCTTCATTGTGATGGTTAACTTATTCTCCTTCTCTTTCTCGTCCCCTTCGCATATCTACATCAAGATGTTCCAAATCTCTTTGGCAGACGTGCACTTACGGATCCTGGGTAATAGAGTATTGCCAACCATTTTGAACAGTATATCCTTCGCTATATTGTCAAGATTATTTCTCGTGCGGTCCTCTGGTGACCATGCATACCTCGGCTTGGCCACATACTCGGGCGCGTCTGGTCCTTGTGCTACTCAGTTAGCGTTCAGCATCATAATCTGCACTGGACCGTGAGTAATGACTTCCAACATCTTGCCATGGAGAGTCAAGAGGTGCGCCTGCATTCGCACCTTCCAATCATCAAATTTTCTAAGATTAAACATAAGATTTTTAGAGGTATGATGATCCATATTATTGGGAAATTAATACATGCAAAGGGAAAATGGATTTTTCTTTTGAAAAAGAGATCACTAGGCAATATACTCAGAGTTTACCATTCAAGGCAACTACTCTAATACCACTTGTTGGTCCCAGTGAGGGTTAAGTACAAGTCTAGGGGGGGGGGGTGAATAGACTTGTAGGATTCTGAAAACAATCGCGAATGGTTAAGGCTACCCGAGAGGTAACTTTAACTACTCGGTCAGAGTTTGTATACGTAGCGGAAAATTATTTGTAACCCTTTTTATTAAACCCTTTGCACATTTGGTTTGCTTATCAAATTTTAGGTTTGGTTGTTTATGCAGTGATAAAGCTGTAAGTAATAAAGAGAGTGAGATAGAGATTTTTATAGTAGTCCGGCTATAACCAGCCTACTCCGCTCTTCTTCACAACACGTGGAAGGTTGCACTATCTCCAGCCTACTCCACTCTTCTTCAATAAGGTTCACCCCTTGACCACAAAGTTGGCAGTGAACTCCACACCAGATTTTTCAACTCACAACTGAGTTTACTCCACATCTTTCTACTACAACCAAGTAGAGAATACATGTTTGAAGAAAAATAATTTATTCTTCTCCAACTAAGAGATCTTGGCTTCTTGGATCTAAATCTTGACGTCTGAAGCAGCTCAAGTCTCTTGGAATCTGGATGTAAACTTTAACGCTTTGTCTCTCTTTCTCTTTAATCACTAGCCGCAAAAACTATATCGCTTGAAAGTTTTTTGCACTTGAGAATATGAAATTAACTAGCACCTTCCTTAGCTAAGGAAGATGGTATTTATAGGCACTTTGAAAAATAGTTCTGTTGGAGGGAAAACTATTTTCAAATACCTTAGTGACTAGTGGGTAGAGACCGGTGGGTAATCAGGATGGTAGTTGAGCGTGTCAGGTTTCCAGTCGTTGAAACCTTAATTTGCATTGAATATTGCTTTTTGTTGTGCACAAAATGTCAGGGCATTTAATGGAAAATCGACCTTGGGGTATTTTCCTAGGACTCACATTGCCTTGGACATATTCACTCAACCTTTTAAGGTTTCAGACTGTACATCTTAGAAAATGTCTCGAGCAATCCTATCGAGTGGTTAACTAGGTTAATGCCTCGAGCCTTAGGTTGACCTTACCACTCGTCCCTTAACTCTTCGAAAGGTAGGTCCTTCCTATCTTTGACCTTTGCGACTCTTCGGTTATGAATGGTTGACCTTAGCATTCTGTCTTGCAACACTTCAAAAGGTAGACCCTTCCACCTCTCGATCTTTGCAACCTTTCGGTCTTGATAAACTTCCACTCTCTTTAGTCTTCAGTCTCGGACTAGAGATAACCACTTGGGTTACTCTTTTTCTCGAGCTATTCAAAACATAACCACTCGGGTTGATCTTCGACTCGTTGTCTTTTACCCATTCGAGAGTTAACCACTCGGGTTACTCTTTGAATCGTTATTGTGACTGTCCTCTCGAGTCTCCTTTTGGATGTATACATTTTTACTACTCGAGGTACCATTCAGTTTGATTCGAATGTTGAGCAGAAATATCTAAGTCTAGAATATAAAACAATTTGGGGGTTTAAACTCCTATTATTTAGCATCATCAAAATCTAATACAAAATGTTCCTAACAGTTATCATACTTGGTACAATTTAAAACATATATAATGGTACCTGATACAAAAATTCTTTTACCCACATGAATTCTAGAAGAGTGGTAAAATAATTTGTTAAGAAGATTCACTCCATTGATAATATAGCAAATTTATTCACTAAGTCCATACCTTCGAAAATATATCCATAAAAATTGATATGCAGGTTTGGGAGATTGTTGTCTTCAGGGGGATCAACAAAATCTAAGTACAAAAGTACAATTGATTTATTGGTCCATAAGAAATGTTATAAATCTTACTATTGTAAATCTCGAAGATTGAACCCTGAAGGTTCACAATTGTACTCTTTTTCCTTAACTAATTTTTTTTCCACATGGTTTTCTTAGAAAGGGTTTTAATGAGGCAACCAGTGCAACATATGATTTCACAAATGTCATGTACTCTTTTCCTCAACTAAGTGTTTTTTCCCACGTGGCTTTCTTAGTGAGGTTTTTAACGAGGCATGAATATATTTAAATAATTACCTATATATCTTGTACTCTATTCTTATCTAGGTTTTTCCCACATGGTTTTCCTAGCAAGTTTTAAACGAGGCATGATTATGGTCAAATAATGTCCAAGAGGGAGCATTATAAATACTATATTTATTGTGGACAATATAATTTAGTTTTGTAATGTTTGTCACATCTATATAATTAGAGTTAATACCATCTAGGGTCCTCCGAATATAATGGTTTTGCCACGTTTAGTCCTAAACTTTCAAATTACCACCCATGGTCCTTCGACTTTCAAATTCTTTCCATCCGCAGCCCAAGTTAACCACCCATGATCCTTCAACTTTCAAAATTTAACCAGCCGCGGTCCTCTTGGAAGGACCATGGGTAGTTAAAATTTTACAGTTGAAGGACCATGGGTGGTTAAAATTTTATAGTTGAAGGACCATGGGTGGTTAACTTGGACCACGAATGGTAACAATTTGAAAGTCGAAGGATAATAGGTGGTAATTTGAAAGTTTAGGACTAAACGTGGCAAAACCACTATACTCGGGGGACTCTAAATGGTATTAACTCTATATAATTATTTACCATTATTGCATTCCTTAAATACATTGTGTGTGTGTGTGTGTGTGTATTATTGTTTTGGAATGAAGAGATAGAGTGTAACACTCCTAGATTTTCTTGTTCTTTATCTTTCTTTTATCCTTTCTCTACAATTTCCTTTTACTTAATTCATCGTGTTCGAGCTAACGGGTGATCTAATTTTAACAGAAAGTTTTCAATTTTAGCAAATGCACTAAAGCTCACCTAGTATAAAACTATAAATAGAGCACTCTTAAAGCGCAGAAAGAGACTTTTAATAATTTACAATCTAAGAATACTAAAAGAAAAAAAAACAAACTTTCTAGCATAGATCCAACAATTCTATACTTCATTGAATTATCTAGATTCAAGTGCCCAACCTTAGTCTTCTTAAGATAAAAATTTCGGCTCTGTTTGGCAGAGCTTATTTAGGAGCTTATAGCTTATTTTAAGCTCCTAATAAGTTATAAGCTCTGTTTGGTAATGTTCCTAAAATAAGCTTCTAACTTAAAATAAGAGCTTATTTTGAAACGCTACCTAAAACGCTAGTAGCGTTTCAAAATAAGCTCCTAGCTTCCTAACTTTTTTACCATCTTTATCCTTATTATTTTAAAAAATGACATAATTTACTATTCCCAATTAAAACCCTTTTTCTCTTCTCCTTTATCCGCAACTTTCATCGCAATTATTATTATTATTATTATTATTATTATTATTATTATTATTATTATTATTATTATTATTATTATTATTATTATTATTATTATTATGAGATTTGCAACAATATTGCTACTCCATTATGAGATGCTAGATCATGATTATGCTAATAGTTTTATTTCAAAATGTTAAATTTTAATATGTAAACAAACTACTTTAAATTTTATGAAGATGTCCTTTTTAGTCTTTTTACATTTATTAGCTTATCAAAAAGCTATTTTTACCAAACACTTTCAATCATAACAGCTAGCTTAACAGCTCTTCAGTTTTCAGCTCCGAACTTATAGCTTTTCAACTTTCAGCTCCTTTTAAGCTTTCAGCTCCTTTTAAACTTTCAGTTCCTAGCTTATAGCTTTTCAGTTAGGTTTGCCAAACAGAGCCTTCATCTATTGAAAAGATATAAACTAGCTATCTCAAGGGACTTTGGTAGAGAGCGTAGATGCCAATATACTGAGACCAATGCAACTTTGTGGAAGACCTTTGTAGAAGGACTATCAAAAGAGACGAAGCAAGTAACGAAGTCGCATTGTGACCAACTTCTGAGAAAAGCTACTAACTTGTAATTTTGTATCAAATTACATAGTGAAATTCCTCTTTGGTGATAAGAAGAATATTGGATTAAGAATTTTAGATTAAGGAAAATACATCACCCGTTGAACCAATATAAATATATATGTCATTTACTTTAAACTCTTACAGAGCGTTTGGTTGGAGGGATTTTAAATTCCCTTCCCACTTAATTCCCACCTAATTTCAAAGGTCATTAAATTCTGTAGTTTGGTTGGAGGGAATTGCAATTCCCCCATTTTCATGGAATTAAAATTTCATGTCCCTCCTGGTATTTTAATTCCTGGGAAAAAAAGATAGTAATGAGTCAAAATTACTCCTTCCTTTTTTAACCTAAAATTAATGTCTAACAACAATAATGGACATTTTTGACTTTATACTACTTATTCCCTTTCAATTCTCATGTATACTAAACATTGGAATTGAAATTCCCAGTAATTCTATTCCTGTCAACCAAAATTCCCAGTAATTCTATTCCTGTCAACCAAACACTGGAATTTAAATTCCCACTTTATTCCCAGTAATTCAACTCCCATGGAATTACAATTCCTTTCCCACGTAATTCCCCCCTCCAACCAAACGCCCTGTTATATTCTTGATCTATACTTCACACACAAACACTAAATCATCCAAACATCTTACTAAAACTTCAGCTACAAATCTTCATAAAACGAAAAAAGTAAAGACTTTTGTTGCACACAAATATATAACTTTTTAATAAATTTAAAATTGTTTAAAGTTTATTCAACTTCTTTCTACGCTTCAACTTGTCTAGAATAACAAAAGCCGCTTTTTGTTTTTGTTTTTGTTTTTGTTTTTTGTTTGAAAACTACTGACTCTATTACATTGTAGTATCTGTTCATCTATACTTTCTCAACCTTTTGAAGCACAAATAGTTAACACCGCTTCCACTAAGGCCCACTAAGGCTCGATTTTATGATCTCCCATATGGGAGAATCACTACATTCCATCTGAGCACAAAGTGTTTGACAAAAGCGGTTTATTTATACTCTATATAATTTTTACTTATTTGTTTTTTTTTTTTTTTTTTTTTTTTTTTTTTATTATTGAAAAGGAAAAGGAAGAATGTAGCCGGTTCATTATTATTTGACATATATTCCTTCATTCATTCCATTCATATATGGTTCTAGATTATACTCCATTTAAGAACAGAACAGTCGAGAATGAAATGGCAAGACAATGATAGCTGCCATCCAAGACCAATGATGGATAAAGTTGCCACATCAAGCCATCAAGAACCTCTAACCAAACATAGTTAAATGGAGCTAACTACTTTATTAGTTGATGGTCATCTTTCTCCTTCACTATTCCCAACTACTCAAAAGAAAATTCTAAAAAATTTCTGTGTTTGTACACAATTTGACCTGTTGCTCCATATTACACGGCGCGGTAGAATCTGTCACCATTCCACATTCCATTAGGTTGATGCCTGTCATAGTAGTTCATTCATACACGATAAACTCATAAACCCGATATCACCTTCTAACATTTAATTTGCTGCTGAAGAAAACTGTTTTTTATTTGTGGGTATTCATTTTTCCACTTCCCCAATGCCCATTTCCTTTCCTGGCAATTGCTCTCGATATAATTAAGGCTTTTTGCCAATCTTCTTGGAATTAGCGAAAATGGCAACAGATGACCCAGAGCAGCTCACTTTCTCTTCAATCGGACAGGTTTTCTTCTCGTTTTTTTTTTTTTTTCAAATTACAATTTTTCGATATTTTTTGGAGGAAATTTAATTGTTTCCAACTGACAAACCTAGCCCGGGAAGTCGTCCGGCGAGATTGGAAGTGTTCAAGAGCCTCTCCTTCATGGCCAACAACCACATATCGAGAATTATTCTGTGGTGGCATGTATACTGCCGTGAGTTTCTCCCCCGCCTCCAAATTTCAGATTGAGTTGACTCACACTCTGCTCTTTTGCTTGTTTGTTTTACTTTCCAGATTATTATATTTCAGCATCGAAATGGTTTTTGGGGCTGCTAAATCCAAATTCTTTGAGCATAATGAAGTAATTTTAGGTGGATTGTTGTCAAATCAAGATATCCACATTTATAAAACTTAACAGGATGTTGACTGTTCTAAAAGGGTTTATGTTGGATTCCTTATAGAAGTTAGTAAATGTGTTAATTGTATGAGATTATGATGTGTCGTGAAAACTATAAGATTTATTGGAAAAAGTAATGAACTTGAAAATGCTAATCTAAGGTGGAGTGAGGTTACTAAAGAGAATACCTTGAGGAAATATAGTCTTGTTCTCAAAATGTTGAATCCCCAACCCGACAGCTGAACACAGAGTTCACTTCCCCTCACTTTGAGAGGTTGCTCCCACACTGCCGCTAGTGAGACTCGATCCCAGGTCATTGTTCCCAAACTTCACCCTTGTGACCAACTGAGCTGCCCATGCGGGCTTGAGGAAATATAGTCTTTGATGGCTACTGAAGGTTTTTTACTCTTGAAATGAGTTTCAATCTTTTGGAGTTTGGTAGCTTGGTGTTTACTAATGACGCTGGAACTTCTTATTTTCATTTTTCCAAGTAATTGTTATAATGAACTAAATGTTTCAGGTTTCTGTTCCCTGCTCTTGGAGGACTGCTCTATGGTTATGATATTGGCGCTACATCCTGTGCCACAATTTCCATAGAGGTGCTCTTTTTATTTTTTATTTTGTGTTTTCTGATTCAGCCCTTTAATGGATTAAGGTCTCTTCACTATCATGACAACTTTGTACTGCTTATATGTTGAAACTAGTAATTAAGTTAATTACAATGTTAACCTGTCAATCTTTACTATATTCTGCAGTCTGCCACATCAAGTGGGATTTCATGGTATGACTTGTCATCTGTGCAAATTGGTCTCATAGTAAGCCTTTCGTCCCTATTTATAATTTTCCAGTTACCTGTGCTTTTGTTTGCCCATATTTTCTTTAACTTGATCTTCTGCCTGGTATAATCCGATATTTGTTACTTTGTATTGCCCATTGATCATTACAGACTAGTGGTTCACTTTATGGTGCTTTAATTGGTTCTTTCCTGGCCTTCAACATTGCTGACTTCCTAGGTTAGTTTTAACTTCTCCAATGTGAGTTTCATGCCAACAATTGATCTCATATTTCACCATATGAATTCTATATTGTTATATTAAATTGTAGGACGAAGAAGGGAATTGATGCTGTCTTCTATACTATATCTTATTGGAGGCTTGATAACAGCATTCGCACCAGTCTATGTTATTATGGTGATTGGCCGTTTTGTTTATGGTGTAGGAATTGGGTTGGTAAGATATTTCCATCAAATTTATATTTTTATGAACTTTTTTTTTTTTTTTCACTGGTTATTTGCTTGTGAATATATAGAGACATTTATATGTATAGTTTACGCCCCAAATTCCATGTTAAAGTGCTGCGACACAAATGCTCATCACCCAAAGAGTAATCTGGATTTCTACAGCTTGAACTGGTAACCAGTACGGTAGACTGCCAAATAACTGATTTTTTTTTTTTTTTTTTAAATAAAATATGTGACAGGCAATGCATGCTGCTCCTATGTACATTGCTGAGACATCACCGAGCCAGATAAGAGGGCTGCTTATTTCTCTTAAAGAGTTCCTAATAGTCTTTGGAATGCTAGTAAGTAGAGTGAGCTAGTGGAATCTATTTTACTCCTGCTCAAAGCTTGGAAACCTAATTTGTTTATATTTCTGAATGGCGATATGCAGTTAGGCTATACAGTTGGCAGCCTTATGGTGGAAGTTGTTGCTGGTTGGCGGTATATGTATGGAGTTAGTGTCCCAATATCGATTGTTATGGGGATCGGAATGTGGTGGCTTCCTGCATCACCTAGATGGATTCTGCTATGTGCTATTCAAGGGAAGGGTGATATGCCGGGTTTACGAGAGACAGCCGTAAGTTGCTTGTGCCGGTTGAGGGGTGCAACAATTGGGGATTCGGCACATCATCAAGTAGATGAAATTCTGTCTGAGCTTTCTCATTTAAGTGAAGAAAAAGAGGCCACAATCGGAGAAATGTTTCAAGGGAAGTGCTTGAAAGCCCTAACAATTGGTGCTGGACTAATCTTGTTCCAACAGGTATGTTTCACTTTTCATAGGCTCTGATTTCAATTATATAACACAGTGAGTGTAATTGTGGCGTGTATCTTTACTCACTTCATGCAGATTACTGGGCAACCGAGTGTTCTGTATTATGCTGCAAAAATTTTTCAGGTACATCTGCTAGATAGGGCAAGAGTTGATGTAGTTTCATACCAAAATTTTCGATCTGGTTTCCCTCCCTCTCTTTCTTTCTTGAACTGTACTGACCTGTTGCAAAATTATAGGATGCAGGATTTGCTGCGGCAGCTGATGCCACAAGGGCGTCGATCTTTCTTGGGTTGCTGAAGGTGGTCTCCTGAGGAAGAATTATCTCCTTTTTTTTTTTCTTTTCTTTTCTTTTCTTTGGGTTTGTGATTTTCTTTTATGACTGTCCACTTTTCATTCTCTCCAATCTGTTCGAAACTGTTTGCTTTCATGTCCATCAGTGTTTGATAAAACGCATAAACTTCTGCAATCTGCATTCTATAGGGCTATTGCTTCCTTCACATTATATCATATTTCTTAAAAACTGACCCATTTTCTAGACCCCTTCTTGTGTCCTCGTGTTTTTTCTGCATTTAGCTGAAATTCGACCTGTTCTTCTCCCAAAAGGTTGAATCTTGGTCTTTTTTCTCAAATAGTGCCTACTGAACCAGTGAGCTAAGCCCGTGTGGGCAAATTCGACCTGTTTCTGCTTCAACAGGATGTAGTTTTTTTTTTTTTTGCCTGGTTTCACTATATAATAATGTTACTTAAATGATTAGTTCGGGTTGCTTTTTTTTTTTCAGCTGATTATGACAGGTGTGGCTGTTGTAGTTGTCGATAGGCTTGGGAGAAGACCTTTGCTACTTGGAGGTGTCTCTGGCATTGTAAGATCTCTTTATATCAGAAGTTTCTGATTTTCCATGAACTGCGTGATTAACTGAATTTGTTAGGAGTACATTTTATATATTCTTATTTATACTGGTGATTTCATAATAATCTTGATCAATATATCTTAAAATGCCCTTATGGCCTGTTTGGTACAATGTAATTGCAATTCTTTTGCAATGTACGGAGTAATTCTTTGGTTGGAGGGAGGAATTGCAATTCCCTCATTCATACACCCAATCTGGGAATTCCAATTCGGCAGCAGTTGGGTACGGGGAAAACAGGAAAATGACTAAATTACCCTTGATTATGATTATTACACAAGGGTATTTTAGTCTTTATATCACTTCTTCCCTACTCATTTCCAATAATCCCATTCCTCCCTACCAAATGTAATTTCAACTCCTAATTTATTCCCACCTTATTCTTTTTCCACAGAATTACAATTCATTTCTTTCTTAATTCTCTCCTCTTAACGAAACGCCCATTGGTGTCTAATCTGGCAGGCAGTAGCACTATTTCTTCTGGGATCATATTACACCTTTCTAGACAATGTGCCGCCGGTTGCGGTGATTGCTTTGCTATTGTATGTGGGATGTTACCAGGTAAACTACTCAGAATTCTCAATCTTGAATATATGATGTGTATTTTGTAACATGGAAGGGTGTAATAATGCAACCTCTTGAGTTGTACATTGCAGTTATCTTTTGGTCCAATTGGTTGGTTGATGATTTCGGAGATCTTTCCTCTACGAGTGAGAGGGCGCGGTTTGAGCATTGCGGTTCTTGTGAACTTCGGAACCAACGCTCTCGTGACATTTGCATTTTCTCCTATGAAGGTACTCAAATCGTTGAGATCGAGTTATTGATTGATCTATTCAATACTGGATTGATAATTCTGCCAACTTAAGCAAGCAAGCTATACATAAGTGCAATTCCTATGGAGCTTGTTCTCTGATTTTTTTTGGATGACGAAGGAAACCCATAACCCATTCGGGTGTAGGTAAACCCTCCTTGTGATCCTAGTTGACAAAAGGACTATATGGAAGTAAACCAATTTAGGTTACCTGTTAATGTTGAAAAAATCGCTAGGCGTCCTCTAGGCGCTTGGGGACCGCCTAGGGCGCCTAGAACCCCTAGGCGGGCGCCTTAGGAGGCCGACCGCCTAGCGCCTAGGCGCGATTTTTGCATTGCCTATAGCTAACCAGTAGTTACAAGTGTGGATTTTTTGCCATCTTGGCTGGGGTAGGGGTTATTCCGCTTGTTCTCTGATTTTGATTATATTGGTGGATGCAGGAGTTGGTGGGAGCTGGAAACGTGTTTTTCATATTTGGTGTGATAGCTGTTGTGGCTGTTATTTTCGTCTTCTTCATCATACCGGAGACGAAGGGGCTGACGTTAGAGGAGATCGAGGCCAAATATCTCACCTGATTATTCCTTAGGATGATGCATAATCATTTATGAACTGTCCAATTATCTGGCAAATTATGCTGTGCAAACGTGTGCATCATGCATGGTGCACACGGAATTGGATCCATAAATTTTATATTATAAATTCATAATTTCTATGCTATAGATTCATAATTATTGAACTATATATTCACAATTACAAAATATGGTGCACACGAAATTGGATTCATAATTTTTATATTATAAATTCATAATTTCTATGTTATAGATTCATAATTATTGAACTCTATATTTAAAATTACAAAATTCTATGTTCATATTCCCAATTGTTGAACTCTGTATTCACAAATCACTGAACTATATGTTTATAATTTGATAACTATATAGTATAGAAATTAATTTAGGGGTGTCAATACGGGCCGACCCGCTTCATTAGACCCGCCCCACTGCGGACTTTTTATTTAGCGGGCTTTGGCGGGCCGGCCTGCGGGCTTAGAACTATACAACCCAAGCCTGCCCCATGCGGGCTTGCGGGTCTCGCGGGTTGGCTTGCGGGCCATCACTTATTTTATTATTTTTTAAAAAAAAACATTAATTTGTATATAAACATGTTAAAACCGCTTGAAATATGGCACCGGAAACTTCCATAAAATCCATAAACCTCGCCCAAATTTCCCGGATTGATACCGCGCGTTCAGCAGAACTGTAGAAGGGTGATCAAAGCAAGGGTTCAACAGCACACTCGATTTCTCTCTCGGCTTCAGATTTTCCCTCTATAATTCCCGTCTGTGTATAATACATATATAAATATGTATGCTTGCTAGACTTGGAGGCGATTTAGTAATTCATAAATATGTATGAATTGATGATTTAGTTTTAGTAATTATTTGATAGAGTTGGAAACGGATGGAGACCGGAGAACCGAAGAACTACGTACTCTAGGAATTATTGAATTAAGAATTGGCGAAGGATTATTAAATTATTGAATTTCTCTCCTTCTATGTACTCTTAGATAGTTAGATCTACACATTGCTTAAGAATTAAGATATTATATATATGATTTTTTTAAAAAAAAGATATTATATATATTATTTATTTATTTATTTTTTAAATATGGCTTAGCCCGCGGGCCGGCCCGCAACCCGCGCGGGTTTACCCGCACGGGCTCTGACCCTCCGCGGACCATGCCCGTTAGGCCCGCATTTTCGCGAGCCTAATTTCTTGCGGCCCTAACCCGCCCCATTGCAGGGCGGATGCGGGCTAACCCGCTGGTTTCGGCCCACTTTGACACTCCTAGAAATTATGGATGCAATTTCGTGCACACTTTGCATGGTACATACGGTTGTACAACATAATGCTTCCCCATATCCAAATATGTAACTGAAATGTATTTTAGCCCATTCCTATCATTTTATAGGCACACGGTACAACAAAAATAAATAAACTTTACGCGAAGTTAACATGTATTTTCATGACTAAAATTTAAATTATGTAAATGAAATTAATTAGTTTTTAACAATTTTACCTACGTCAATAATTATGGAACAAGTTTCAAACTGTTAAATAAGCTCACAAACAATCACATTGTTATCTTAATAAATAATAAGTTTATTTTTAATAAAAATTTATATAACAAAATTTACAAACTTCGCGGAATTAGAAATCTTGACGAGAGAAATCAAAATAGTTCAAAATACGATAGAAATATTCATAGCAAAGTATGAAACATAATTAAATAAATAAAATGGTTCGAATAAAAAATTATTATAAATCACGCATCTTCTCTGTTGATATGACATTTATAAATATTTTTTCTTTTAGTTAGATCAGGTTTTAAGTTTTTATAAATTAATTTGAATACAATAGAAATTTCTAAATTACATTAACTTATAAGAATAAGCACACATGGGATCCAATAAGAGTTCATAGTGTGCTCTTCAGAATGCCCATCACTACATTCTTAAAGCATTATTGGAGGAAGGAAAAAGAAAGTTCAATAAGAAGTCCATTTGATTGAGGAAAGAATTATAGTGGCACAATCACAAGGTTCAAGTACAAACAATTAAGACAACTCTTCATTGATTATGTTCAAAGATGGTGGAAATCCAAGTCAAGCCCAATTGCAAAAGATGAAGAAGCAGCAATTATATCGTGATTATGCATCGCGGCCCTGATGCGGCGCCTTTTCATTAATTAGATGAAACGACGCCCATTAACGTCGTCGATGGCGTTGAGCGGGGAAATTTTGGACATTTCAACGCATCATTTTTTTTTAAATATAAAAACGAAAAGGCAGGTCTTGTCTCCACTATCTTCACAAACAAGCAAAACCCACTTACCATCTGCGCTTTCTCTGAGCTAAGATTTCAACAGCTGCGGCTTATCTCTCGTCTTCATCGCTGTTCTCTTTCGTTTTCTGCACATTTCACGTTCATTGCTTCAACAAAAAGGTGATAACATTGTTATATATAATGTGATGTTCTATTTACCTGAAAAATATATGTTCTACAGTACATTTTAGGTTTTTTCAGCCATTCCGAAGCAAGCATTCATGTTTTGCATCACAAACATGCAGTCAAAAACATATAATATTATTGTAAAAACTAAATTAAAACCACATGTTTGTCTTTTCAGATTATGTGGTCCCAGATGTTTGTGTATAAAATGAAACTGCCAAGTGTGTTTAATGATACAGATTATGTGGTCATAGATATTCCAGATAAGACTGTATTGCTTTTCAAATGAAACTGTATTTCTTCACAAATGAAACTGTAGTTCTTCTCAAATGCAACTGTCGTGTATATTAAATGAAGCTGAATCAATGGTGTCACGTATTGTACTACAAAATTTTCAATGAAATTGTAGTGTGCTTGAAATGATACTGTAGTGTTTATAGAATGAAACTACAACGTGTGTAGAATTAAACTGAGTAGGTATGTGTAATGATACAGAGTATGTGATCTCAGATATACGAAATGAAACTATAGTATTTTTCAAATGAAAGTGTATTGTCTTTCAACTGAAAGTGTAGTGTATATGAACTTAAACTGATTATGTGTGTGTGTCACGTTATGTTTTATAAAATGTTCAGTGAAACTGTAATGTAATTAACTGATACTGTAGTGTTTATGAAATGAAACTGCAGCGTGTGTAGAGTGAAACTGAGTAACATGTATGAATTTAAATTGTTAGTGTAATGAAACATCAAACTCTATATAATGAAACTGAGTATAGTCATTATTAATACTTGTGATATTGTTGCAGACCATACCTAAAAAATGAAGAAAGCAACAAGACAACATAAAACCAAGGCTATCTTGGACTCACAATCAGCAGAACCCACGCCCCCAGCTCAACCTGCACCCGCTACAAAAGAAGCAGCATAAAAAGGTAAAACCAGAGATATCTTGAAATCAAAATCAGTCATAATCACACCACCAGCTGAAACAGAGCCCACACCCCCAGCTCAACATGCACCTGCTGCAAAAAATAAAGCAGCAAAGAAAGGTAAAACCAGGGCTATCTTGAAATCAAAATCAGCCATAGTCACACCACCAGGTGAAACAGAACTCACCCCACAAGCTGCACCTGAACCAAGACCAACTGAACATGAACCAACAATGTCATCTAGACCAGAACCCACTGCACAGGAAGCATGGAAACAGGAAAAAAAAAAAAGAAAAAAAAAACGCCCAATCGCAAAGCAACAACGAACCCCCCAACTGATAAGAAAATGCATAAAAAAAAAAACAAAGAAATATGCTAAGAAGAGCCAGATTGGTGAGATAGGCTATCTACCCACCGGAATGTCACCCAAGTACTTTCGGTCCCTAATTTCATCACTAACACTAAATCAACAAAAAACAGCGCAGGATATTGATTTTGGTGAGATGTTAAAGATGACAGTATTCGAGTTGGATAGCAGGCTAACCAGATACCTTGTTGAGAGATTTGATATCTACCGATGCTAATTATTGTTAGAAAATAATGAGATGCAGTTGTCAGAGGATGATGTACACAGCACACTGAATCTCCCAAAAGGGGAAATCACTGTGATTGAGGCTCCTTCTGAGAACGAACCTGAGGCATATGTGAAATTGTTGGCAGATTGGAGAGAGCGGTGGGGAATAACTAAAGGTTCTCCGGTAACAAATACAATGACATTGGCTATTGTCGAGAGGGGAGATAGTGGAGATATGTTCAAAAGAGATTTCATTGTGCCGCTGGTAACAAGCTTGATAAAAGGCAACCAAAGCACAAAGGCAACCTACAATATTTTATACTCCATGATTGATGTTTCAAAGCTGAGAGACTTGAATTGGTGTCATTACACGTTCAGATCTTTGGTAAATGCAATTGAGGCTTGAAAGGATAACATAGATACCTATTTCACTGGTCCTTCGTTGTTCTTGATGGTAATATTTTAATATGCATTTATAATATTTTTCTTATTAATCTATACACTACTATAATTAATGATAAAATATTACTGATTATTGTTGTCATTGTTTCAAAAACAGTTAACATACCTTGACATAATGTAATTCAAAGGTGAGAAGATTCAAAGGAAGTACCCTGCGATAACTGCTTGGACTGAAGAAGCATTGAAAAAAAAAAAACAAAGAGGAGATATTGTCGGGAAGTTTTGGACGGGGAAAGATACTGGACAGATTTCACATGGAAGAAGATATAACTGAAGAAGAAAGCATACTTGAGAGGAGTGGTGATCATAAGGAGGGCAATTCATCAAATGAATCACTGAAAAAGATTACTTCTGTGCTGAATCGGATGGCTGACACAGTTGTTGAGTTTGCTGGGGTGATGGCTGAGATAGGAAACATAAGGACTGGAGAGGAAATAATTAAGATAACATTCGGAAACATAGCTGACATGATTACTGCTGTCTCTTCTTCCTAACCAGAATGAGATGAGACTTTATTGTATGATGATGAGATTTACAATCATCCAAGTTTCCTTGATGCAGTCAATGCGCTTGAACAAGCATTCTACCAAACAACCAAAGACTACCCAACTCAACCTCCTCCTAGATCACAAACACCGAATCTGATTCCAACACCAAGTTTTGATCTTGGGTTGAGCCCTACTCGATCATCACGACCTCAAAGTATCCCTGAAGCAATGAATGATAAACAAGCACAAATTGCTACTGAAATCAAGAACATCTCACGTGATATTCAGGAGGACAGTGAGAGGGCAATTTCCGATGAACCACATTTGTAAACCCCACCAACTGAAATTGAAAAAAATCTATTTGATAAGTATGCTCCAATCTATTCCATATACATTGCTTCAACACATTTTCAATTGCCAGAAACGAACCCTAATATGATCTCATCTCATCAACGATGTCGCCATTATGTTTTCCTTCAAAATAAAGAAGATAGATGAAGATGGCAATGGATGGCGTGTTGAAGATGGCAATCGATGTTTTCCTCTTGCTCGCAGATGGGTTGATGAGATGAGAGCAGATTAGAGTTCGTCTCTGGCAACTATTTCTTTTTTCGTATTTTGGTCAGAATAAGAGATCAACAGCGGCCCGAGATTGCAAGGTCAATGTAAATGTCTATTTTATCCCTGCTTGAAATGGAAATTTTTTTCCGGTGAGATTTTGACGGAAAATTGGCCGAAAGGACCATTTTTGCAACAAAAACAATAGTCGTGGACTGAAATTGCAAGGTTTGAAAGTCACGGGTCAATCCTGTTAGTGCCACTATAGTCATGGGACCAAAAGTGCAAAAAACTCATTAAAATTTTTAAAAGATAATTATTTATCATTATTTCAAAAGTACAATTATTTGATAGTTATAGTATCAAATAAATTCATAAATGATACAATTTTATGGTATATGTTGATAAATTACAATAAATAAATACTTATTTTGAAAATTTAAAAATAGAATTTGTTGTTCACCAATGAAGTTTAATATACAAGCTTTAAAATACCATTTTCACAAATTATAAATGATTAACCCTACACTTTCATATTAAATTTACCTTATAATAATATTCATCTACTTATGTGGTAATATTTAATTGGATATTATTTGTATTTGATTATTGAATAGATTTCCATTTTAACTTGGGATAGAATCGACGAATTAATGAACAACCAATGTATATAAAGAATATATAAAGAATTTTATACCACTTAGGAGGTGAACACTAGAAGGTGATAGAATTCAGTATGGGAAAATAACATATATAAATAAGAGTTAGTAATATAAAGTTAATTTAGAAATATATAAAGTATTTATTATTTATCTATAGTTAAGATGAGATCACATTCTTATTGAATTAAAATCTATGAGAGAATTATTTTTTTAATTTACGGAAAGTCAGCATCAGCTATCCTAGTGGTGTGCTACCTCTAGATGAAACTCACATCGGGACTTAAAAGGAAAAAGACTACAATGAAGTAATTAAACCAACCTAGGTAGGTTGTCCATAGCTTATCGGCTCAAACTAAGAATACCAATATGCAGCTCCTATCGAGAATAAAACTTAAGCTTGTTGTTATTAAATCAATTGTCTAACCAATTCAGTTGAGAGTTTCCCAAATTGTATTTATTTAAAAATTACAATTGATGGTGTTGTGATACTCGGATTAGGCATAGGCGTGCATTAGACTAAATGAGCAATCCATGGATCATGTTCATATTAAATTAACTTACCTAGATTGACAGATTGATTTGACAATAATATCCCTAGATTTAACACCCATTTAATAAAAATTTTAACGAAAGACTATTTTAGGCTTTTTTGTAGTCAATGTACGTATTTTCGTCAAATTAAAAGTCAAAAACTAAAAGAAGTAATAGCCCAATAATCAGAGAACCATTTGTGATATTAATTATACGTACACAACACTCTCCATAGTGGTTTTGTAATATTTAAACATTGGGCATCATAAAATGCAATAGTAATAAATTATATATTAACCATTAAATTTAAAAAAATAGAGTTAATTCCTTTTTTGGTCCTCCATAACAAAAATTATAAATTTGTAGCCACGCTTATGGATCATTGGACAATTTTAGTCCTCCGTCACTTGTGCTCGTCTGTTGACTGTGAAAATAAAGGGCATTTCTATCTTTTTACGTATTCTTCTCCTAATTTTCCCTAAGCAGATCACAACATGGGCTCAGTGGTTGTCGACACATTCAGATTTCACGGTCAAAACAAAGTGGGAAAATCACGGTCAGAACAAGTGGGAAAATGAACAGCAGGTCTTTTCCCGCGGTGGAGGCGGTGGTAGTAGCAGAAGTGGAGGTCTTATCCGGCTGTGGCAGCTGTGGCGGTTGCGGCTGTGAAAACGGCAGCATCAAGGAGATCCTCTGGGATAAATCTCTTTCCTAAGTAGATCATAACATGGGCGATTGTTTCTCCAAAAAACATATCAGGAGATCCAGCGCCTCTTTGCTCTCTCTCTCTTTCTCTCCCTCGTCCACGAGCAGATCGTTTCAAAGCATACCTTTGTGCAAAATAGGCAAATCTCACGAAAGTAAAAGCTTCGGTGTGCTGAAAATGAGACCAAACTACAACAGAAATTAGGTGTGGGCGAAGATGCAAAACGATAATGGGCGGCCGGGTTCGAGTAGGAAACGGGCAACGTGATTGACGGGCTAGTCTCTGAAGAAATCGGAGTAAATGACGGTGGTCATGGTGGTTTCAGCTATAGATGTCGATGACTAATTGTAGAATACAAATAAACAAGAAGAAGAGGAAAAACCAATATATTATGTCTTGTGTAAACTTCAATACAAGCACTTGTATATACAGTGCCAACAAGATGATGAAAAATGAATACAAATGAGAAAACAAAGAGACACATGTAAAACTCAAGAGACACATGGGAAACCCAAGGGACATATGGAAAACCTAAGAAACACATGATTATTAATATAGATGATTAATATCATCAAATATCTCAACACCCCCCCCCCCCCTCAAGTTGGAGCATGCGGATATGAAATGCCCAACTTGCGAAAAAGAAATTCAAATTGCCTTTGCCCAAGAGCCTTTGTGAAGATATCAGCTATTTGCGAATTGGTAGGAATGTAGGAAGGGAAGATCAAACCATCTTTAATTGCATCGCAAACAAAATGACAATCCACTTCAATGTGTTTTGTGCGTTCATGAAAGACTGGATTCTTTGCAATATGAAGAGCCGATTGACTGTCACAAAATAACTTTATGGTTTTGGGAAGATGAACCCACAGACTTAACAACAAGCCCTTTAACCATTTGAGTTCACAAGTAACGGCTACCATGGATCTGTATTCTGCTTCTGCGGAAGAACGAGAAACAGTAGTTTGTTTCTTTGTTTTCCACGAGATTGGAGAATGGCCAAGAAAAACCAACCAACCCGTAAGCGATCATCGAGTAGTAGGGCATGCGGCCCAATCCGAATCACACCATCCCTGTAGCGTTAGATCAGTGTCTGCTCGTAGGAGAATCCCTTGACCTGGTGTACCTTTCAAATAACGGACAACTCTCAAAGCTGCCTCCCAGTGCTCACCATGTGGTTCTTGCATGAATTGAGACTACACATGAACAGAGTATGTGAGATCCGGTCGAGTTACGGCCAAGTAGATAAGTCTTCCAACTAGACGCCGATAAGCTACAGGATTAGAGAAAGTTACTCCACTAGCTAGGCCGAGTTTGTGGTTTTGCTCAATAGGAACACTAACCGGCTTGGCCCCCAACAATCCTGCTTCAGAAATAATATCAAGGGTATATTTCCTTTGACACAAAAATAGTCCAGAAGAGCTACGAGAAACCTCAATACCAAGAAAGTACTTTAGAATGCCGAGATCTTAAATGTCTTTAGAGCAGCAGAATCATTCCCAGAAATGATGAGATCATCGACATAAACAAGTACATTTATCTGAATTCCACCCCGAGTAAAGGTGAATAAGGAGTAGTCGGAATAGGATTGTAAGAAACCATACCCTTTCAGGGCCGTAACAAGTTTTTGCAAACTAGCACCTCGGTTCCTGCTTTAATCCATACAAGGACTTGCGCAATCGACACACTAATTTAGGATCGGATGCCTCAAAGTCTGGGGGAAGTTTCATATATACACCTCTTCATCGAGATTACCATGCAAAAAAGCATTGTGCACATCCATCTGATGTAGTTCCCAATTTTTAGATGCTGCAATGGCAAGAAGTGCACGAACAGTAGTCATTTTGGCAACAGGAGCAAAAGTTTCAGTGTAATCGATGCCTTCTTCCTGATGATTACCAAGAGCCACTAATCTTGATTTGAGTTTTTCAATCGACCCATTTGAGTTATATTTGATTCGATACACCCAATGACTCCCAAGAGCCTTTTTCCCAGGTGGGAGATGTTCAAGAGTCCAAGTTTGATTGTCTTCGAGGGCCCGAATTTCATTTGTCATAGATTATTTCCAGCCGCTATGTGTCATCGCCTCCTTAAAAGATTTTGGTTCTTTTTCAGAAAGAATTGCTGCGAGAAAAGTTCTGTATGGCAGAGAAAAATTGTAACAATTTATATAATGTGCTAAAGGATAGGGAGTACCTGAGGGTGACTGTGGAGACGGTGTGACGGAGGATGGACTTTTAGCAACAGTAGAATTAATAATATAGTCGCACAACCACACTGAAGGAACTTTATTTCTCATACCCCGACCCATCTCAACATTCGGATCCTGGTTATTTGGAACAAGAGTACTAGTGTGTTGTTCAGTTTGTGAGCTGAATTCGGGTATGGAGTTTGACTCTGGTTGAGAGGTTGGCTCGGGTGTGGAGCTTGGTTCAAGTTGAGGGTTTGGCTTGTTTGTGGAGCTGGGCTCGGCTTCTTCAACAATTACAGAAAAATCTTCGTAAACAAATTCTCCATGAGGATTGGTAGTCGTATCTGTGAGGGGAAATGGAAAAACATCCTCAAAAAATTTCACATCGCGGGAAACAAAAAATTCTTTGGTGTCAAGATCAAAAAGCTTCCAACCCTTTTTTTCTAAATGGATATCCCACAAAGATGCACTTTCGGCTCTTGCTAGCAAATTTATCTCATTTTTCTTTTTGATTGTGAGCAAAGCAAAGACACCCAAAAAGTCAAAAACACAAATTGTGTTGCAAGATGGAGGACTACCAAAAGGAATTTCATAGGGAGTTTTGTTATCAAGCACGATGTTGGTGTCCAATTTATAAGATGTGTGGCCGCAAGAACACATTCTCCCCAAAAATAAATTGGCAAATTGGCTTGGAATCTCAAAGCTCTCGCTACATTGAGAATATGTTTATGTTTCCGCTCAAACCTACCATTTTGTTGAGGAGTTCCCACACAGGAAGTTTGAAATAGAACTCCAGTATCAGGAAAAAAAAATCACGGGCAAGCAATTGAATTCAGTACCGTTGTCACTCTGAACGACTTTGATTGATTGAGAGAATTGTCTATCAATCATAGCCACAAAACACAAGAACATTTTAAAAACCTCAGTTTTATCCATCAACAAATAAATCCAAACTGCTCGCAAATAATCTTCTATTATAGTTAAGAAATAACGTGCACCACAAGATGATTGATGTTTGTAAGGACCCCACAAATCACAATGTATTTTCTCAAATATTCGAGATGCTCTGTTGTTACTCAAAGGAAACTTATCTCTAGGTTGCTTAGCACGAAAACAAACCTCACAAGCTTTATTAAAACTTCTCACAACAGTGCCTAGGGCTGTGCACAACCCGTCCAACCCGCGCCCCGCCTTAGCTCTCGGAGTGGATAACCGAACCCGACATGCAACCCGACGCCCTTTATTTCGAATTTTTGATTAAATATATAATCGGTTAGGGTTTGCTTAAAGGCAACCCGATCCGTCCGACAACCCGAAACTATATATATAGAGTATATGTATATGCATAATACGATGTCGTGTGGGCATTATATATATATATATATATATATATATATATATATATATATATATATATATATGTGTGTGTGTGTGTGTGTGTGTGTGTGTGTGTGTGTGTGTGTGTGTGTGTGTGTGTTATACGAAGCTATGGTTTCATTATTCACCATTTCAGCTGCGCAGCTTCTACTTCTCAGTTCTCTCTCAATCTCTCACTCTCTCTAGTCTCACCCTCTCTGAGACTCAGACTCTCAGAGTCTCAGAGTCTCAGACACTCTTCATCTCTTATCTTCTCAGAGTCTTAGTCAGTTAGTCTCTCAGAGGCTTCGAGGGTTCTGTAGTTCACTCGTTCTGCACAGCCTTACTCTCTTGAGCCGTGGACCGTGGTGGAAGCCTCAACTCTCAAGCCAGCAAAGCGTTGGTGGAAGCCCCTGTGTCCAGACGTCCAGTGTCCCTGTGTGGCTGTGTTGATTGCTTGAAGAGTGGAGTTGAAGACCTAGTTCTCCGGGAAAATATTGGAGAAATCAAGTAATCGAAAACATGTTTTTAATACTGTTTTTTAGGGTTCTTGTGTGAGTTGTGTTATTTATGATTGATACTTCATACTTGGATAGTTTGTGGGGTTTCTGTATATTCTGATTATTTGCATTATTCTGCGATTTGTGATGAAATTGTGAGTTTGTGAGCCCTAATTTGTACGTGAGTCAGTGTCTCAGTGACTCACTGGCTCACTAAGCCCTAATTTTTGGGGGTTTCCATATAAATGATGAATTTGTCAAATTCCTGATATATGGTTTCATGTTTATGGTAATCGGACCCTTAACTTTGTACAGACTGTATATGTAATTATGTTACATATTGTAGTGGTGGAAGCCTAAATTTGATTAATGTGATTATGGATTTTATGAATTATGAGATTGAATTGTATTGTGTATTTGTGTTGATTCATGATTGTATGAGCAGTTGAGCACAAAGCCCTAAACCTCTTGAGTCTTAAGGCAGTAAGATTTGGGCAATTCCATTTAGATGATGATTTGAAAAATGCAAATCTGATTTATGGATTTAATGGTGGAAGTGTAATATGTAATCTGCTAATCTGCTTGACTATGTTGACTATGTTCTATACTTCTATGTATGATTGTATGGTGGAAACTTTAATCTAAAATATGTTGTAATATGTAAATATGTTACCTGTTTATGATTTGTAATCTCAAATCTGTTTGGTTGTCTGCTTTATTTGGATACTGTTGCCCATCTTTATAGATGGAAAGCATCAGTGCATCTGGACACCCTCCAACCTCAACTGATGAGGAGCATGGAGTAGAAGCTCCAGGTACTGAGAGAAATCCTCAGACAAATCCTATGCCTTCTCCTCCTGTTGTTCCTACAAAGAAGAGGAAAGAGGTGGAGTCTAGATCCATAGTATGGGATCATTTTGAAAAGATCCGTGGTCCACCTGCTGAAGGTGAAACTGAGGGACCAGTAGTTAAGGGCAAATGCCTTTATTGTGCAAAAATTTATAAATGTGAAAGTAAAAAGCATGGCACTTCCTCATTGAAAAACCATATGGTGGCCTACCTAAAAAATCCTCATTGTAAGGATACAAGGCAGTCTCTTCTCACCTTTAATACCTCTGGAACAGAAGCTTCTGAGGGGGTTCTGGGGACTTGGGTTTTCAACCAAGAGGCTATTAGGAGGGCATTGTGTGAGATGATCATTGTTGATGAACTTCCCTTTAGGATTGTTGAGGGAAATGGCTTTAGGAAATTCATTTTAGTTGCTTGTCCTAGGTTTCAAATCCCTTCTAGGTGG